AAGTGCCACCATGTGGATGAGGATCGCCGTAGAGAGGTCCCAGAAACCGCGTTCAGACAATTGGTCATATTTATGGCCTGCCTATATTGCGGCCTCTGGCAAAAGCCAGGGTGGGGCTTCAAATAACAAAAAATCTCGTCCTAAAAAGGATGAAACACCTATTGCTAAATGAGCTGATATTCAATTTAGAAGCTCTCGTGATGCGAGTCATTAAATACGGAGTCAACTGTGCTCTACACCTAACTTCTCTACTTATTTGGTGAATGCCATATATGGTATAAGAAATAAGAAGATTAAAATAAATACAAGAAATTGGAGAAAAAAAAATACAAGAAATAACACAATTTATTTTATTTGAAATAACCAATGTCTTTGCTATTCAGATTCTGCAGAAAACACATTAAGTGTCGGCCAATAAATAATTATTGATTATACATCATCGACGCCAGACCATTTCTTCTGTTCCCGCGGAGCCACTCAGCCAATCGCCTTACTCGGAAAAGGCGTTCATGTTCAAGGTTGAGTAGTCGTAGTTGAAAACGTTGTTAACGTCTTCTTTCGTGACAATCAAAAATCTAGACTATAAAGACTTAAAAAACTAAATCGCCTTCGTGGAGACTAAATCGACAATTGCCTTCTCGCTCAGTCAATCAGTAAATGAATAAATCAATTAATTAATTAATCAATAAGGGATCGTCTTCAAGTAGATGGATTACAATGGATTTTCACCACGCTCTGCCTCTCAGGGGCGCCAACGCGCGAAGATGGCATGGGGAGAGGGGTTTCACACAAAAAAAGTGGGCCGTCTTCACAATGAATGTTTGCTACAGTGTACCACTGGTGTCTTCGAGAAAATTACGAGGTGCGACCCCAATTTATCTACGGTAGGACTCTCGTACCATTGTCCAAACCCATGAAAAGGCAGTGAACGAACTCTAGTACTCAAAGATCATGACATTGTTAAACGCATTGGTTTAGCTGGTCAGAAACAGAGAACTGGAACATGTGACAGCCTGGAAACATGTATGGAAAAAGAAATAGAGAAAGGGCTGATTTTATAGCTTGTGCCATTTTACCTTTTCAATCCTGTGTGGTCTGTTTATAAACCACTTGATAGATGTCACCAGTTTTGACAAACAAACATGACAAATGATTACCAAAAGAGCACTGGTAAATACAGTATTCGTGAGCTAACCCCGTGTTACGTGTGCCAAACGTAGACATTAACAATCAGTAGATCAGCTTGTCCTTTGCATGGTATTAACATGTGTTTGCTTTCCAATCTGTTGATTTTCTTTGAATAAAGGTTTTGACTTCTGGAAAAGATAGTGACTGGTAGATTTACTGCTGCCTTATTTGGCTAAACAGTCTGCGCTTTCATTACTTTTGAGGCCACAATGATATGGAATCCACAGCAGATGCGTTTCTTTCTCTTTTGAGAATCGGCAAGTATATTTGTTAGCGACAGATTGGAAAAAAATATATAGCAGAAGGCATGGTACCAGGAAGGAGGGGCAGTGACCGACCGACACGAAGATGGGCACAGGATATAAGTGACTCCTTGAGTGTGAAAGTGCATGAGGCGGGACCGAGTTTCTTTCAGGCAGACTGTGTTGAGAGCGACGTTCTGCAAAGGACCTGATACACGATGATGATGATATATGTTAGACTCTGCAGTGTGCTGTCAGTAAACTTTGGCTTTTGGAGCCTCCATGGCTAATAATGAATTTGTGAGAAAAACCATCCTGCCTGCAGGGTTTCCAGTTTGTTCATATCCTGTGCTGCCATACGTATGACTGAGAACTCTGCCTTGTGGATGTAGTGCACCTATAATTGTGCTACTTTTGTATTGCTTTATTCAGACGTTAGCTACAACCTTCTGGCACTGAGAGAGTTAACCTGTTTCTGCTTTTGTCTAAGCAGCCATTACTCTTTTGAATTAGGGGGGAGGGGGGCTGCGTGGTCTCAAGGCATGGTGTCCGCCTCGAGTGTTAGAGGTCTCGGGGCTGGGAATTTCCCTGGTATACTTATAGTAAATTCCCTCTGGTCTCTGGGTAGTAAGACAGGACGCCCGTGTGTATTGTTGCGCACTTAAGAAATCCCTTGGCAGTTGGAAATCGAAAAGAGTAGCTCAACGGCGCCGCCCGGGCAAAATTTAGAGTTAAAAATATACTCAAAATATTTCAGGATCCTCGCCGGTGCAAAAAAGTTCGTGCACTGAGCTGAGATTTTTTGGACTCCGGCTTGAGTAGAAGAAGAAGGGAGCGCTTATGGGTTATACCCGTGTGTCATGATGTGGATCCGTTGAATAAACATACTAGTTTGATGACTTGTATGTGGCCGCCATGCGTGACCGTGTGATCATGTTTTTCTTATGCACAACCTTTTGTATCTGGTACTTGTAATCAGTTCTGACATATATGATCTTCAATACCTTGACATCAAACTTTCCAGCATCTTCTCTGTCTGGCTTTCTCTGCCTCCCCCCTCCCCCAACTTTCCCACTGTCATGACGTACCCGAGTTTTCTCCTTCTCATGACAAGATCTAAGATCGTAGATTGTCTTCTTCTAATGGGAGCAGTCAATTCTCTTTGTGAGTCAAAGTCTTTCAGGAAATTTTTATTACTCTTTATATCTGTCCAGGCTATGGTCTCTCCTTTTGAGCCTAGGGCGGCGAATATGGCAGAGGTCATATCACTCCATGTATGGCGTTTTGTTGCCACCTGATTTAGGTCTTGGATGTTTTGTTAGGCCCATGGTTGAGTCTTCCTATTGTGCTTTTATTTGCCACAATGGACTTACAGTCTATTCACCCATTCCTGTCTTTGTTTTTGTTGTTGTTGCAACGACCTCACATAATCATTCCTTTTAATAATAATTGACTGGATGTGCACCACTGGGTGGTGAATTGATACATGGCAAAACAGATGTGGTCAAGGCCCTTTGGGAACAAGCAACGGAATCAGTAGAGAAAGAAGATTATTATGGCCTGGACAGAATAAGGCATCTTGATGTAACCAGAGGGTCTGGCTGGCTCACTATACTCAGAGGGTCTGGCTGGCTCACTACACTCAGAGGGTCTGGCTGGCTCACTACACTTAGAGGGTCTGGCTGGCTCACTACACTTAGAGGGTCTGGCTGGCTCACTACACTCAGAGGACCTGGTGTTGGGAAAACAAGAACAGACCCACTGCCTACCCAACAGCATGTTGTAAGAGTCGACTTGTTGGGAACTTTCTTCGTAGTCAGACTGCATCTGCCTGAGAGGCAAGGAAGTAACAGGCTGCACACAAATTAGACAGATCTGTAAAACAGATGTGCACACAGCACTCAAGTTCTGGAACAGAACTGCAGTCCTGAAGTGGACAAACAACTAGAACCTTCTGCTGGAGTTTACAGCTGGCCAGTTAGAGAATGCTTTAACTTGCTACTAGCAGCATTGCTGCTAGAAGCATTTGGTTATATTTGTGGTCTGAGTTATTTTTACCAAGCGTATTGGCTGAGATTGAAATATTTGTACCAGGTTTGATGGCTTTCTGTCCCTAACTTAACTTACAGTGCTACTAGACCTATATTTTTTTATAAAAGACCAATCAGCAAGTGATGGGTTACACTGTCACCATCACAGTGGCTACCTTTATTTCCCATGATTTTTCCTGGTACCCATACCAGGCTGGGTCAACCTGGTAACCAAGGTCAATTTTGAAAACAATCTACTTTGATATAGATTTGAACCCTACACCTTCAGACTGAATGTGCACAGCTAGTCATTATGCCACCACTGGTCATTTGTCTCATATAGTGTCAATAATTTCTGATGCAGTTGTTCTCCTATTCCATGATCCCAAACCATTCAATACAATTTCTTTTCACCTTTCCTGGTAACCAAGGTCAATTTTGAAAACAATCTACTTTGATATAGATTTGAACCCTACACCTTCAGACTGAATGTGCACAGCTAGTCATTATGCCACCACTGGTCATTTGTCTCATATAGTGTCAATAATTTCTGATGCAGTTGTTCTCCTATTCCATGATCCCAAACCATTCAATACAATTTCTTTTGGTCTTCTTCTGCTTTTTGTCTCTTCCAATTGTCCTGTTGTTCCGATGTACTATCAGGTGCTACAAATATACACAATAAAACAAACACAGAAATGCATAGTTTCAAAAAGTGGTTCCATAAAAGAATACAAAAATATAACAAAAATCAGCATTCCAGTTACAAAGTTATAGTTCTTACAGATCTCTGATAGCAAAATCAGTCTAGGACACTGTGTTGTCAGCACCACAGCTGAAACCACTGTAACATAAGCACCACCAATGAATACAGCTATAAAATATGCTGAACCAGTCAACACATCTGTAACAAATGATGCACCAATGAAAAGAACTGTAATACATGCTCCAGATGTGCCCAATACAGTACCATGTTCTTATAATTTCTGATACCAGTGGTTGTCAATCTAAACACTCCTTTCAGTTCTTCAACTTTCCTGAATTTATCCCATTTAATATAAACCAGTTTCCTCAGGTATTTAATTTTAATAAAAATTGCAGCATATTCTTTACCACTAAACACACAAATAGAACGCATGCTCCACCAATGAACATAACTGTAACATATTCCCCACCAATGAATACATGGTAACAAATTGTCTCCACCAACGAACACAACTGTAACACATGATCCGCCAATCAATACAAGTGTAACTTAGTCAACCAATGAACACATCTGTAACATATGCTGCACCAATCAATACCACTGTTGCATATTCTTCACCAATGAACACAAATGTTAACACATGAACCACCAATCAATACAACTGTAACATTCTCCATGAATGAACACCATTGTAACACATGCTCCACCAATCAATACAACTGTAACATATTCTATACCAATAAACACAACTGGAATACATGCTTCACCAATAGAAACATTTGTAACAAATTCTCCACTAATAAACACAATTGTAACACTAGATGCAGGTTCCTGCTATCTTCCACTTTTGTCACTGCCATCATCACCTTTGCCCAAGTACTGGTTGCAGGCGAAGGCAGCTTCTGGTAACTGGGTCATGGCTTTATGTACATCCCTTCTGGTGATCTCAACAAATGAACTGCAGAAGGATGATTTCAGTTTCAAAAGGAGGTTTAGAGACAAGGACAAAACACTTTCAACTGATAAAACTATAGAAAACTGTTAATAGTACCTGAGTATAACTTCTTCTGGCCTAGTTAATCGCTGCTTTAGGGCAGAACTCAAGGGTTAAGTAGCCCTCTACTCCTCCTTTTTAGCATCGATCGGATGTAAACTCTCAGAAAGTTCTGGTTATTCATCTACTTATGGACTTCTTGTTCTAGAACTTCAGTTAGGTGCAGACATTCCTTTTACAGATCTGGCTTATTTGTATGCAGACTGCTGGTTCCTCACCTCTCAGGAAGGAAACACCTTAATCGCCTGTTATGACATGCCAGTCAGAGGGGCAATGGGTCTACCCCTCTCTCGATGAACAAAAATGGGGCCATCGTACATGCATAATAATCTCAGGATATGAAGAGTTAAAGTAGCTATTGGTTAGGATGATAGCATTACCTAACTCTAAATTCATGGTAGAAGAGTTAAGGTTTTAGCACATGATGCCAAACTGGACCTACCTGTGAGGAGATTGTGAAGACCTAACTGCTGCCGCTTCACTCAAAACATCCCCAATGAATTCTTGCATCACCTGCAGTGGATAAACATTTTAAATATTTTTGTTCAAGAGGGTGACAGAGAGAGTCTATATGTGTGCGTGTGTTTATATCTTTGTGTGCGTGTGCATATACATGTATATGTGGGTGTCATATATAAATATATGTGTGTGTATATATCTTTATTTTTATCATCTAGGACAGTGTTTTTCAACATATCTTGTGCCATGCTCCACCAAAGCCTTCCTAAAATTCATATGTCCACAATGTAACTCTGGATAAGTCCATTTTCAATTAAGCCACGTCTGTAAAACAGATGTGCATGCAAAACTCAGGTTTTGAAACAAGGTCACAGTCCAGCAGTGGATGAACACCCAGAACTTTAAACTGAAGTTTACAGCCGGTGAACGCAAAGAAGAAAGAAGAAGAAGAATGTGCAAAACATTTACAACTGGCAATATCAGTATATGTACCCTGCACTGGCCACTGATGAAGGGAACAGGGTAAGTGTGAGAATGTCAAGAGTGGCAATAATTATTATTTCAAAACAATGTTTCCCTGTTGTAAACCTGAACAAAGAGGGCACAAACAACTGACTGCACAATTTATTGCCTGGCATATTTTGCTGTATCTCATCAGGTGCTTGCTACAGAAACAACTGATTAAATGAAACAAATACATAAATCTTTGCAAATGAAACATAAAATCGACTACAACCAAAAACTGTCTATTTAACATGGGTGAAGACCATGTCCTTTTGTCTGCATAATTTTGCACTAAACTTGTCTATAGCGGTTGCTTCCACAAACCTTAATAATTTGCGGTTGGCTGAGGTGTAAATAATTCAAAATGCATTGTCGATGTTAACAATGTACCCAGAAGTCAAGTGCCCAGTTTTTTAATGTAGTCAATGTTGTGTTTCCGTTGGAAAGACTCACTTATTTGCTTGATTTTTTAAAATTACTACTGTAGTATGCACCTGGAGAGATGCAGCGAAATACGCCAGGCAATACATTATGCAGTCTATTGTCTTGTGTCTTCTTTTTTCAAATTCTTATTTCATTAATTCACGTCATTGGCAGCTAGTGTGATAAACCTCAAATCAGCAAATAAATAAAACATGATTTATTTCCAAAGACTTTAGAATCTCTTTATCAAGAAGCCACCAACCATTTGCCACCCTTAAGGATCCAATTTCAAAGTCAGGACAACTTACATAAGGTTGTTCTCCTATATGGTGGAGATTAACCTTTTCACCTTGAGATGGCGATAATTTAGTTATCATGCTGCTCATTACAAATCCCTGTAAACGTCGCAAAACTGGCACTGCTGCAGTAGTCTGTCACTGACAAGCCAAGTTACCAGCACTAGCTCTGTCTGGCCCTGCTGCAGTAGTCTGTCACTGACAAGCCAAGTTACCAGCACTAGCTCTGTCTGGCACTGCTGCAGTAGTCTGTCACTGACAAGCCAAGTTACCAGCTCTAGCTCTGTCTGGCACTGCTGCAGTAGTCTGTCACTGACAAGCCAAGTTACCAGCACCAGCTCTGTCTGGCACTGCTGCAGTAGTCTGTCACTGACAAGCCAAGTTACCAGCACTAGCTCTGTCTGGCACTGCTGCAGTAGTCTGTCACTGACAAGCCAAGTTACCAGCACCAGCTCTGTCTGGCACTGCTGCAGTAGTCTGTCACTGACAAGCCTAGTTACCAGCACTAGCTCTGTCTGGCACTGCTGCAGTAGTCTGTCGCTGACAAGCCAAGTTACCAGCACTAGCTCTGTCTGGCCCTGCTGCAGTAGTCTGTCACTGACAAGCCTAGTTACCAGCACTAGCTCTGTCTGGCACTGCTGCAGTAGTCTGTCGCTGACAAGCCTAGTTACCAGCACCAGCTCTGTCTGGCACTGCTGCAGTAGTCTGTCGCTGACAAGCCAAGTTACCAGCACTAGCTCTGGCACTGCTGCAGTAGTCTGTCACTGACAAGCCAAGTTACCAGCACTAGCTCTGTCTGGCACTGCTGCAGTAGTCTGTCACTGACAAGCCTAGTTACCAGCACTAGCTCTGTCTGGCACTGCTGCAGTAGTCTGTCGCTGACAAGCCAAGTTACCGGCACCAGCTCTGTCTGGCACTGCTGCAGTAGTCTGTCGCTGACAAGCCAAGTTACCAGCACTAGCTCTGGCACTGCTGCAGTAGTCTGTCACTGACAAGCCAAGTTACCAGCACTAGCTCTGTCTGGCACTGCTGCAGCAGTCTGTCGCTGACAAGCCAAGTTACCAGCACTAGCTCTGGCACTGCTGCAGTAGTCTGTCACTGACAAGCCTAGTTACCAGCACCAGCTCTGTCTGGCCCTGCTGCAGTAGTCTGTCACTGACAAGCCAAGTTACCAGCACTAGCTCTGTCTGGCACTGCTGCAGTAGTCTGTCACTGACAAGCCAAGTTACCAGCACTAGCTCTGTCTGGCACTGCTGCAGTAGTCTGTCACTGACAAGCCTAGTTACCAGCACCAGCTCTGTCTGGCCCTGCTGCAGTAGTCTGTCACTGACAAGCCAAGTTACCAGCACTAGCTCTGTCTGGCACTGCTGCAGTAGTCTGTCACTGACAAGCCAAGTTACCAGCACTAGCTCTGTCTGGCCCTGCTGCAGTAGTCTGTCACTGACAAGCCAAGTTACCAGCACTAGCTCTGTCTGGCCCTGCTGCAGTTGTCTGTCGCTGACAAGCCAAGTTACCAGCACTAGCTCTGTCTGGCACTGCTGCAGTAGTCTGTCGCTGACAAGCCAAGTTACCAGCACTAGCTCTGTCTGGCACTGCTGCAGTAGTCTGTCGCTGACAAGCCAAGTTACCAGCACTAGCTCTGTCTGTGCCTGCGCAGTGTTTCGGAGGCCCAGAAAATTTGACTAAAAATAGAAATTGGGGGGCGGGAAAAGGGAAGGGAGCAGGGAACTGTGACCATGGCTTTCTCTGCCATTATAGCATCTTGACTTGCTTTTAGTCTCAGCAGCTGCATTAAGGCTTTATTAAGAATACAAAATAAACAAACAAATAATGTACTGATCAGCACTCATAGCAAGAAGTAGACATACAAGGACACACTAAACAAAACAAAAAAATCGAAAGCTATAGTTATTGTGCCAAGAATTAAATCTGTCATCTCTGTAAATCTGCGCCTCCCTATGAAAACAAGTGCACGAAGAACATGAGCAACCAGGCATCCCTTAAAACAATGGTGACTTCATTGGCCATGACTACCGTAAAGCCTGAAATCCACAGCTTTGGAATATGGACAGAATTCATCTCAAACCATTGAAATGGCACCACAATAATGTGAGACTGTTTATTTATGTCTTTATTAGGGTCCAGTGGAATGTAATCCATTTTGTTTTTACTCACAAGTCTCTTCCTATATATATGGCGCCGTGTTAGTAGTCAATAGGAGACGCAACTTTCAAATCCAGCTGCGACTCACGGTCGGTGTTCGAAAACCGGGCGGTTCCTGGGGTTCACCCAGCCTCTAGGTAATGGTTACCAGAGTTAACAATCTGTGGTAAATGGAGGAACGTTGCTTTAGCTACGGAGCTTTGTGCAGACGGTGACACAGGTGGACAGTTTCTTTTCAGCTGTCCGTACTGGTGGCAGAGCACTTATGGTTTATAATCGTGTGCAATGATATGTCTCCCGACTTTTTATCTTTTAAGCCTCTTCATATCTTTTTAACAAAAATATATAAAAAAATGTAAGTATCCAGAAACCATGAGTTGTTAACCCTTTGGCTCTACTATGGATATTGCAACCCTTCGGCCTTGATTCACATGCAAACACATCACAAGTATACCATAACATGTTACCTGCAGCTGTATGTGCCACCACATCGGGCTCTAGTTCAGTAGGCTGCAGTTTAATACCTCGCTGTGGAATATTTGTAGAGGAAAGTGGATGCATCAAATAGAAACAAGAGATTATCTTTTCATAAACTATTCAATTTAAATAATTCTTCATTAAGAACTGTTTTTCAATTGATAAGTTTTATTTTCATAAGCCAGGGCGCACTTAGTCGCTTGATAAGCTGTGACATTATACAGTCTCAAGGTGTGGGTGACTCCTTCAATTCATCTATTTCTAGGTTTTCCCCTGTATCTTGGTGTTTTGATTTTCAGGTTGCATGTTCTTGCTGCTTACATCACTGCTTTCATTCTCATTACATGGTTAAGGATCCATCGCCTGCTAATACAATTAATTCAACATGTCCTAAAACTTGTAACCAAAAAATACTTTCTGCTCACACTATCCAATCACCATGCCCCTGAAATAATAATACATGTCTTACTTTGTAATTACGTCATCCAGTCATTTCCCTAAACCACCTTCTGTTAATGCCATCAAATCAAAATGTCCTGAAACACTGCAACAAAGGTCCCTCTGTGGGTCCTGGAACCCTATTAAAGGGAAAATAAGAATGGACCCACTGCCTACCCAAAAATCATGTGGTAAGAGCTGACTAATTTAAAGCTTTCTTCAAAGTCGGAGTGCATCTGCCTGAGAGGCAAGGAACCAGCAGTCTGCATACAAATGTGTCAGATCTGTAAAGCGGATGCACATGCAACACTCAGGTTCTGAAACAGGACTGCAGTCCAAAGCAGATGAACAACCAGAACTTTCCACCAGAGATTACATCTGGTGAACGCGAAGAAGAGGCAGAAGACTGCAACAATGACCCACCTTTCTAAGTTCATCATAAACAAAAACTGCACCATCTGAAGGCGGTAAACACTCCAGATTTTTGCTGACATCAGAACATTCCTGAATTTGGTTACCCAGAGATGTTGTCTTATCTGTGGGAGTGAAAGTCATAGTATATTCTTGAAAAGTTTAAATATTTTTGTCCAAACTGCTGCTTTAACCCACTGGTCCTCTGACGCTCTAAACCAGCATCATGGTTCATAACTCCTTCCTGAGAAGCTACTAAACTAGCCTTGCTGCACTGGCCAGTCCTCAACAAGACTAGTAGGAGAGCTAGATATGAATATATTTACCAGAAATAGCACCTGGGGACGACATCAAGGCTCCTCTTTAACCTTTAATATCAACTTAAAAGGGGTCACTTTGTAAAGCGATGCATGAGGTGTGCCACATGAATTATTTTGGCTATCTGGACTATGAAAACAGTAAACTGCTAACACAAGAATGGAATTCAGGGCGGCCAAAAACACATGAACTGGATGATATTGGGCCTCAATCATCATGTAAATTAATGCGAGGACTTCCTGCGACAAACACATCGCGGCAAAACTATTAAAATAAGAATACAAAAGGCAAGAGGGGCCACTAGGGAATTTGTGGAGGTCAAAATAAATTAAAACAACTAAAAATTTTTTTTTACTAAAGCTAAATATTTAATATTTGTGTGCACCTGTGTTTAAAACTAATGTATAACTTTGTAAACAATCCAATCAGGTGACGACATCAAACGCTGGTGGTTGGATAACATTGAGAAACTAGGAGAACAGCATAACTACGTCTTTGCAATGACAAGGAATAAAGGAAGCCAAAAAACATGGAGAAGATATTGGGAGGACATGGGGAGAGCTCCATGTAATGGCGAAAATAGAACGACTTGGCCTATTTTGATAGAAAGGGCAGAAGAAGAAGCCTTCATCAATGAGTCACCTATATTTTATAAAGGATGGCGGCCAAAAATATGGCAGGACCTCAATCACATGTAAATTGGGGACTTCCTCCGACAAACACAAAATCTTAGGATTACTGCCCTTAAAAATATGACCTGTGTTTAAAACTGTAAACAATCTAAAACAAAGCAAAAACTAGGAAATTTAACAAATGAAAGCTAAAGACACAAATACAAATAACCATTTTGATCACAGCCTTTATCAAGCTATGTTATTAGGAAAAAATCTGTACCAAACAAACTAACAAAATCTATAAAAAAAATAATTAGGAAGCTGAACAAAAAGGACAAAGACACACACACAGATAGGGTCAGCATTATGATCAAACTTTTTGTCAACTAAAACTAAAATAAAAATTTAAACAGTTTGAAACAATCATAAACAAGGAAGCTGAATAAAAAAACAGGGAAAGACAATCTCAGATGAATGGTAACATTTTGATCCATCTTCATCAACAACTAAAACAAAAACAAATCTGGTACAAATCACAAAAGTCATCCTATGAGCCGTATGATTTTGTAGGAGATTTCCTAGGACACTTCTATAGTATAGGGGTGTCAAGTGTTCATCATTTAGAACGTTTCAAGCAGACCCCCCGGCAATATGAGCCACCGAGAACAACCCTAATAATATGAAAACATTAATGATTTGATAGCTACAAAGTGTTGCGTCTTCGGCACTTCCCCCTGCAGTACTTCTCCCTTCTTTCACTTTATGACACGAAGTGTACACATGGCAAAGCAGGGCTATGTCATAATGCCCCCACAACATAGGACAGCCCATGGGAACTAGGATGACATGAATGGGAGCCAGCATGGAATCTCATTTTGGGTTAAAGGGCGAAAGCTCATGCGCCGCTGGATCGATAACAACAACAACAACACGGAGTCTCACGTGTAAGCAAGATGGGGTGACTCTCGCGATAAGTACCACAGATGTTTTTTAATTGATTAAAACTAATCTAAACTAGCATTTTGAATGAAGGAAAAGCAACCAAAACAACAACAAAAAACAAAAACAAAAAACACCTGATCCAAGTCTTTATCAACAAAAACGAGGAAACAACAATCCTACACCACAAAAACCTGATACCTGTATCTTCAGCAGCAACCACATCAACCTCCTGTCTGCCATCATCATCTAGGGCAGGAACTACAGCCTTAGTTAGGAGCTCATTCTCCAAATCCCTGGCAGCAGTAAAAGATGCGACACGTGCATGGTTCCTGACTGACCCTGAGTCTGCAGAAGAAGGGTCATCAGATTTGTCAGTGTTAGCCTTGAGCCCTGGAAATTCAACAGATTCAAAATTTGTCAAAAGATATTTAATTATTTTTACAGACAACTCTGCAAAGATTATTTACACTCTTCTCTTGCATTTGAATCCATTCTGTAGAACGCTAGGAGATAAGCTCTTCTGATTATGCTGACTGTGTGTTGTTTTTTTTTTTTTGGAAAATGGGGTGAGGAGGTATCCTCATGGGTTTCCTACTGCACCACCAATTAATAAGTGTCAGTTTGTTTATTATATTGTTTAAAAAGGTTAGGTTGAAAATTAAAGTTGAAGTCAAAACACAGTAAAAGAGATTGCATACAGTAAAGAGGCATCTCCCTTGTGACTCATAACGGTAAAAAATTCTGCAGAATTCTTGAGAAAAGAATACAACCTCTAATCGAGCCCCAGCTAAGTATGAGATGCACAGATACCAACTGTAGTTCAAACAACGGATCAACATCATGGCACATGGGTAACCCATAAGTGCTCTGCTCTTCATCTAACTCAAGTATGAGTCCGAAGAAGCTCAGCACAGTGCATGAGCTCCGTAGCACTGACTAGGATCCTGAAATACTTCTGGGTAGATTTTTTACCTGCAAATTTTGCCGGAGCAAAATGCTCTGTGCTGTTAGGCTACTATTTTTTTATTTCCAACTGACACAGGATTTTTAAAGTGTGCAACATTGCAGACGGGCCTCCATCTCACCACCCAGAGACCAGGGAAAATAACTAACAGTCCATGTGAAAAAAATCCCAGCCCTCACCGGGGCGTGAACCCAGGACCTCTAGCACATGAGGTTGACACCCTACCTCAAGACCACACAGCCCCAACTGCTCTCAGACAACTTACAGAGAAATCAAATTGAATTTAACCAAACACTATTTAGCCTCTGTCGACCAAGAAAAAGCATTTGACAGAGTAGATAATAACAAACTATGGGGAACCTTAAAAATTTATGGTGTGAATATGGGTTTAATAGGCATATGTAAAGCATGTATAACAAAAGTGAATATACTGTTAGAACACAGAGGACACTCAGAACCATTCACCATAAATTCTTGAATATTGCAGGGCTGTGTCCTGTCTCCCTTTTTTTTTTGATAACTTATACTGATAACATTTGTAAAGAACCCAATCAAACAAGGACAGTAATTCACAAAGGAGAAGAAGACACAAAACTAAAAAATGTTATCTATTTGTGGATGACCAAGCACTAAGTGATATTTCCAAAACTGAACTGCAAGACCATTTAATTATTTAAACTCAATTTGCAAAGCACATCACATGAAAATTAATACCAACAAAACAGAGGTCGTGATTATTGTTGTGTGCAATATATGGTATATGAAAGGGAAGTTCACTAATGAACGTAAAACTTGGTGCGGTGCAGTACACACTGAACGGGATGTAAAAAGAGAGATAGACAGACAGTTGGCTCCATGACCCTAGAGAGGAGGGATGCGTTGATGTAGGTTCTAGTCTGGATGTTGCCAGACTAGTCCTGCACACCCGTATGTTACGGTGGCGTTAGGTGTCCAGGCTATCTGCGAGAGTTGTCGCAGTGGCCGGGCCTGCGTGACGGGGATTCGTGAGGTGAGATCAGGAGATCTCATGTACCTGTCAGGCCGCAGACGGAAGGTCTGGATAATCTTCACAAAATATTGTGCATCGGCCTGTTTGATCTTTCTAGTGACAGTGTACCCAATTGATCGGTGTCATAGAGACAGTCACGTGATCACGAGTAGTGGATTTGCAGGAGCGGGTAGTGTTTACCCGTAGCAACCATGGAACATAGGGTGGCAGCCCAGCGCGTCCTGAGTGTGTGTTGCCTTGCTAGTGAGAATGGCTGTGGCAGTATAGAAAATTATGTTTCGTGATGCCTTTCATTGTCCTGATGTCGAAGTAAGTAAAGTAAAAAAGTAAAGGACCCTTTCCACGCCTTTAGGCGTATAGGGCATATAGGGCTAGACCTATATTTTTATAGACCAACGGCACAAGATGGGTGATGTGGTCAGCATCACGCCGGCCGCCTCTACTTCCCGGGATTGCACCCGGTATCCACTCAAGGCTGGGTCGACCTGTCCTGATGTTGAAATAAATTAAATCTACTTTGACGTTCAACATGTATCCGGCGTCCTCTATTGTTACTGTTGGGCGGAGTGGGGACTTGTAACTGTGACACCATTGATTATACCTAGATACTTGGCAAGTATGCGAGGCATCAGGCTATCCTGTGGCACCCTAGAGCTTAATATCGCACGCGACAATCATAGCCAACGATGACAAAACAATAAATATATAGCTTACAGAACACCCTCTGAAACAAACCAAGAATTTCAAATACTTAGGAAGCATAATATCATCAGCTGGCAAAACAGGAGATGAGCACTCTAAAACAGTCTATTTGCCAACCCTGTATTATAAATGAAAGAAAAAGAGTAAAGAATCATTACAACAACTGAAATAAGATTCCTCTATAGGGCTCTCAATATAACAAGAGGATATATGATCAGAAGCAAAGACATCCAAAGAAAAATGTCATTAATTAGAAGACAATAGGTGAAATGGTTTGGCCATATAACACAGATGTCAGCAGACAGTATACCACAGCAGGCAAGGATGTACAGACCAGGTGAGAAGTGAAGAAGAGGTAAATAATGCAAATGATGAACAGAGGGAATTACAAAGTCCCTGAAAATCCCCATTTGCAAAGCACACAAACATGTGCTTTCCCGTAAATTAGACTTTACCTCGACACCACTGGTACAAGAGGATCAAGACAAGAAGAAGAAGTTAAAGTTCAGAGGATCAATTTCACTGCCCTGGGCTTTATCTCATATGGCTCGGTCTCTCACTGCTGAATGGCTGATAGCATCGCACAAAACACAGATACTGTAGCACTTGTGTACTGAATGATGCAGTCATGAAATGACCCCATGACCTCCAGAGTGCAAGGCAAATGGCTTAAGCACCTCACCATGGAGACCCCACCCTACACTTTCTTTGGCCTCAAAGGTTCCGACCTGTTTATCACATACAACTCAATGGAACTGACTAATCAAATTTTTTCATTAAGTGTTTGTTGTATACACAGCCTTATGTGTGTTTGTAAGTTAGTTAGACTTCATCTTGAGGCTAAAGTGGCACATCGGGCAGAGGTCATAAGTTTGTAAGTCTGTAAGTGCTGTGTTTGTTATTTCAATATGCTGGGTGTCTTTATCCAAAATAGTAATGCTCAATGATTATGAGTACGAAGGTGGCTGGTTAGTCCAATATGAGCCTTGAATGTTCTTGATCAGTGCAGACAACAGGTGAAAGCCTTAGTGAATGTGGGATTAATGCTATTGGTTCTTTCCTGTCTGCCTCTGTTTCTCTGTCTGTGCAACCTCCGCTGCTTGGTTATCATGTTTCTAAAACATATGATGCTATCTAAATAGTTTGAAAGGAATTATGTCCATAATCAAAAGCTGTTGGTTCAAGCTATATAATAAAGCTGGCTTATGATGATACCTTTTTTTAATAAGCTTTTATTAAGTTTGGTTTGTTTGCTTGTTTTTCTGGTACAATTTTTGCATTCAATTTTTTTAATGAAATGATAAGTAAACCAAAACAAAACGAAGTTTAAAAACCAACATTACCTGTAATCAAAGGACTGAAAGCATGTTGCCTGCACCACTGAACCAGCTGACGGGTAGACATAAGGGTCTCTCCTTGGAAAGAGTTGGATGTCCCCAGTAGTGTGTTGAGGTATTTGAGCACAAAGCATGCTCTGTGCCACTAGCAGATAACAATATCAATATTACAGATGACAGGTGTAAATTTATCCAGCTTAACTCAATGCTAATAATAATAATCACATCAACAGTATAGCCTTTCAGGTTGTTTTTCCACACCATAAACATATATTCATTAAAACTGGCAATTAAGATAGAAAATCCCATGTTGTACAAACAAAAAGATCACGTGGCAAATCTTAGACTTCAGTGGTGAGGTGTACAGCGTAACAGGAAACAATGTGATTTGTGTACTTCAGTTCAAAGATTCACAGTGTATGTTTAATTATATGTTGAAGTAAATTCTGTGGTAATGTTTATGTTGATTCGACAGATCAACATCATGGCATACGGGTGCAACCCATAAGTGCTCCGTTCTTCTTCCAACTCAAGCATGAGTCTGAAGATAATCAGCGCAGTGCACGAACTCTGTTGTACTGGCGAGGATCCTGGTGAACTACAGCAAAATATTCAGGGCAATAAATTGTACAAAACACTGTTTGTAAATCAAATCAAAAGACCCTCTTCATGCTTTCAGGCATATTGGCGTACTGGACATATGGTGCTACACCTATTATTTTACAGACCAATCGGCACTCTGTGGGTGATGTGGTCAACATCGTTATGGCCACCTTTACTTCCTGGGACTATTACCTGGGACCCACTCAAGGGCTGGGTCGGCCTAGGAGCCAAAGTCATTTTTGAAAAAAAGTCAGCGCTCTGTCAGGATCCAACCCACAACCTTCTGATCCTCAGGCAAGTGTCTAGCCGTTACACCATGCAGACTCCACAATATATTGTTTGTGTTCTTAACATTTAATCTATTCTACTATTCCAATGTTATTTCACAACTTTTTCCCGGAGGTGATCCCACATTGACCAGGGGGAGTAGTTTGAGTTTGTCAATGACCCCGGGCATTAAGCCAACGACAGGGCAGTAACCACCAGGGCCTCCCCAGTCAGCAGGTCAAAGGGTAGAGAAATCAGATGGACAGAGACTGGTCCTTCAGGCTGGAGGCTGAGGTGTGGGGTAAGCAGCCCCTTTCATATCCCTTTTGTAAAACCTCTTCCTGTCCTGAAACACATGAACACCAAGCAGATGGAGTTCATCAGCTGGATACAGCAATCCATCTAGGACAGTGGTTTTCAACCTGTGTAAGGGTGCACCAAGAAGTTGTAAAGCAATTTTGAAACTCAGTGCATTTCTTCCTAAAAAGAAAACATCCCTGCTAGCTTGATGTGGAGAGTGATTTTCGCTGTGCAACAGCAGAAAAAAAAAAGGAGATATCATCAAGACAAAACAGTGTCAATCATCACACTTATATCTAGACACTAAATTACCATTGTTATGGTGATTGTTTCTTTTTTTTTACTTGAGACTTTGAATCATAAATATGTTTTTATCTAAGTTATTGTTAACAGTGCTTGGGATTTTTTTGTGTTCTCCTCTGTTTAATCACATTTTTTTTAAAGGGATGGCGGAGGGAAGGAGGGGGGGGGGGGGGGGGGGGGGGGGGGGGGGTGTCTTGCCCTCAAAAGGGCACCAGTTAAAAAAGGTTGAAAACCATTTATCTAGGAACAGGAACTCTAATCACAAACCTCCACTGTCCAATGGATAGGCCTTCACTGGCCATAGACTAAGGAGGAAGCTTATCTTAACACAAAAGCCTACTATAAGGTGAAGGTGTTGGGTGGAAAGGCACAGATAGTCCTCAATGGTGTCACAGTTAAAGCTGTAAACCTGTATATGGCACTATGTAACTCCTTCTTGCAATCCCACTGCTTAGAACGGTGGTTCCCCGTGTGGGTTCCGGGGCCCTACTGTGGGGTGAAAACAAGAATAGACCCACTGCTTTTAAAACAAGCATGCTGTAAGAGTCGACTGACTGGGGACATCCTTCGAAGTCACAGTGCATCTGCCTGAGAGGCAAGGAACCTCAGGTCTGCATACAGATAAGCCAGATTTGAGAAACGTATGTGTACCCAACACTCAGGTTCTGGAGCAAGACTAAAGTCCAGAGGTGGATGAACACCCAGAACAGCCGGTGAACCCGAAGAAAAAAAAGAAGAAAGAACGGTGGTTTTCAACCAACCTCATGCCATGACCTTTAATGCAGTTCCTCATGTTGTGGTGACCCCCAACGATAACTTTTTTTCTGTTGCTACTTCATAACTTTAGTGAATATGAGTTTTTCAATGGTCTTAGGCAACCCCCTGTGAAAGGGTAATTTGACCCCCAAAGGAGTCATGACCAACAGGTTGAGAACCGCTGGCTTAGAGAGATCAAAGTCTGAAAAACAAAAATTTCAGTGGAAACTATGCTGTATGGATCAGAGGAGGACATGTGTCGAACAACAGCTTTCATAGAGGCTTGTGGACTTCTCATTTGAAAAACACAGCTTTCACAGAGGCTTGTGGCCTTCTCGTTTGAAAACCACAGCAGAGAGAATAAAAAAAAATATTTCCCCACTCACCTCAGATCCTAACTGTTTCCCCACTGTCCAGCTATTCCACTGCTCCAAAGATTCAGCACAATAAGGGTGAGTCAGTTTATCTGCAGAATTCAGAAGTTTATATTACTACATGAAATTCAATTTCTCCTGTACCCGTCTTTCACACTGGTTGGAGAGAGGTGAGGAGTTGCTTCACTACAATGCTTGCTTTGTTCTTTGATGTTGTGATAATTATCATAATGACTGGACTGTCTTACATATTGATCTTAGAAACAGTCTTTTCATTTCTGATTTGTTTCAGTTTTATTTCAAGGGGCAGGGGCCGACCAACACGAAGAGGGCACAGGATATAAGTGACTCCTTGAATATAAAAGTACACCAGGTGGGAGAGCTGGTGAGAGATCGAGTTTCTTTCAGCAGACTGTGTTGACAGCTAAGTTTTGCAAAGGAATTGCTACATGATGATGATGATGATGAATGTTAGTAATGGTAGCACTCTTTCTCAGACTGCTGTTCATCTATCTTTTATCATCCCACTTGTATCGTTGTCTACCTCCAGCTCTCTGGCCTTTGAATTTTCCATCCAGTATAGTTTTTGAAAGAGTATTATGTCTTTTAACTTGACCTACATATTTCAATTGTCTCTTTTTTATTTCTTTCAGTAGCTCTCTTTGCACTTCTAATCCGTTCGGAACCTCCATATTTGATTTTGTTTCCTACTCTTCTGCACATCCTCCGACTCAATAAAACTGAAATTTATAACTAAAATAACCTCTTCTTCTTCTGCCTTTCTATCCTCCAATGGAGCATACGCCCTCAACCAACTCACGCCAAGTCAGTCTATTCTTCACTATTGCATGGAGCTCTCCCCATGTCCTCATCATCTTTCTAACTTCATTGTCCAGCTCTCTTCTCCATGTGTTTTTTGGCCTTCCTTTATTCCTATTCCCCTGTGGGTTCCAAACAATAATCTATTATAAACCAGAAAAGAAAATTAGCAAAAATGAAAATGAGATGTCTGAGAAGGGCTGCAGGAGTGACTAGAAGAGTTAAAATCATGAAAGAGGTCACAGGTGAAAAAGTCAGCACAGAGCCAATTCTAAATTACATCAAAGACAGGAAATAACATGGTTTGCCCACTTAGACCTTAGACAGAATTGATTCCATACCATTTAAGGCATGCACCGAAAAAAGAGATGGAGGAAAAGCACGTTAGACCAGATCAAGAACAAGAGGGGAAGATACCATCAGAGAAACTCTACAACAGCACAATGTGTCTATGGCTGAAGCGGCCAGAAGAACAAGAGGGGAAGATACCATCAGAGAAACTCTACAACAGCACAATGTGTCTATGGCTGAAGCGGCCAGAAGAACAAGAAGCAGAACCTTGTATCTCCTTTGAAACCTGAAGCAGTAAGAGAGGAAGTGAAGAAGACAGAAGAAAAATGATCTACTTTAGATGCAAAAGACTCCCTCGAAGTCGGAGTACATCTGCTCGCGAGGCAGGGAATGGCAAAAGCCAGTAAAACGGTTGTACACGCCAAACTCAGGTCCAGGCAAATGCCTAAAGTTCAAGCGGACGATTAACCCGGACCAACCGCCGGAATTCACAGCTGGTGAACGAAGAAGAAGAAGAAGATGCAAAAGACAGAGACAGACATTAAGAAGAAATAAGAAAGCAAACTTACTGACACTGGCTTGAACAAGAGGGTGGAGCCTCACTGCTGCCTTCACTAAGGCTCGCATGCTGCTGTAGTCATCCAAGCTGCAATCAGTTTAAAATGCGATAAAACTCAGCAATTTGTAATCACAAAGATTAAAAGACCGACAGCAAAATTCTACTTTTCTTATTATGTTTCTGGCAAAATTAGGTATCCATAGTTCCAGCTTCATAGAAAATGGGTCACGTCATAGTAGCTCTGTTTCTTTTTTTTTTCAAAAGAAAAACTACACAGAATGTTCATCACGGACCCTTGTGAAACGGCACAAACTGCATCTCAGAAAAGCCAATAGTATACACACGCACTAAATGCATAAGGCAGCCACCAGAAGTGCCAAAACAAACAGTCCGGGCATGGAAATGCAGTTCATTATTGATGGCTGCAGCAGTTACAACGGATCAGTAGTTGCACATGTAAATAACTGCATGAGATACCGCAAGTTTTCTGGTAACTGGCCACTCGCCATTCTCTGAATCTGCAGTTTGCAAGTTCCATGCCATGCTCTTGAAAAGCATTCTAAATGAAATCCTTAGCTCGGTGTTGCACCATGCACTCAACTCAGTAGCCAGGCGATGGAACTATATCCTCTCAGTCTACATATGGAGGAAAATGCAACTACTGTCAGAAGCAAAACCATACCACAACTAAAAAACAGTGTATCTGCCTATCCACCAAACTGACCAGAAACTGAAATGTTACTGGTCTGATATTTCACAACAAAGACATAATTTCATGCTGGGTAGGAAGGGAAGAAAGCATTGAAAATCGTAAACCCCCCTCACATGGATCGACACACCTGGTCATGCGGGCATAAAGGGTAATGAGCGAGCAGACCAAGTGGCAGGCAATGCACCAATGAATGTGGAAAAAAGCATGGTCAGAGCAGATACCGTCAATGCTGTATGGACTGGGCTAGTGGATAATGATGAATCTCTGACACTAACCCAATTGCATGAAATGGAAGTAAATCATGGTAAAACACATCTATGCCGCTTTCGAGGCCAAGATAGGAGACATTATAACCAACTTTTCATGGGAACAATTAGCAGAAGCACCTTGGAGTGGCTCCTGCATAGGAGGACTTAGCATGCATGAGAATGTCCAATGGGCAGTGAAATCAATTTTAATGGGAACAATTAGCAGAAGCACCTTGGAGTGGCTCCTGCATAGGAGGACTTAGCATGCATGAGAATGTCCAATGGGCAGTGAAATCAATTGTGGTAACATAATTTCATGTCATCTTTATGGGACGCACAGGTGGTCAACAACATATGGTGGAGCACCAGGACTATGGCTCATAATGATTAAGACCTATCCACATCTCTCCATGGTCCTCCTAGAAATAGGTTCCCATTGTAAACATTTGGGATGCCTTGTGCAGTCAATAGGAATACCTATGGTCACTGAGTTCAAAGAGTTGCAATAGGAGCACCTATGGTCACTGAGTTCAAAGAGTTGCAATTGGAGCACCTGTGGTCACTGAGTTCAAAGAGTTGCAATAGGAGCACCTATGGCCACTGAGTTTAAAGAGTTGCAATTGGAACACCTGTGGTCACTGAGTTCAAAGAGTTGCAATAGGAGCACCTATGGCCACTGAGTTTAAAGAGTTGCAATTGGAACACCTGTGGTCACTGAGTTCAAAGAGTTGCAATAGGAGCACCTATGGTCACTGAGTTTAAAGAGTTGCAATAGGAGCACCTGTGGTCACTGAGTTCAAAGAGCTGCAATAGGAGCACCTATGGTCAGAGTTTAAAGAGTTGCAATAGGAGCACCTGTGGTCACTGAGTTCAAAAAGTTGCAATAGGAGCACCTGTGCTCACTGAGTTCAAAGAGTTGCAATAGGAGCACCTGTGGTCACTGAGTTTAAAGAGTTGCAATAGGAGCACCTGTGGTCACTGAGTTCAAAGAGTTGCAATAGGAGCACCTGTGGTCACTGAGTTCAAAGAGTTGTAATAGGAGCACCTGTGGTCACTGAGTTCAAAGAGTTGCAATAGGAGCACCTGTGGTCACTGAGTTCAAAGAGTTGCAATAGGAGCACCTGTGGTCACTGAGTTCAAAGAGTTGCAATAGGAGCACCTGTGGTCACTGAGTTCAAAGAGTTGTAATAGGAGCACCTGTGGTCATTGAGTTCAAAGAGTTGCAATAGGAGCATCTGTGGTCACTGAGTTCAAAGAGTTGCAATAGGAGCACCTGTGGTCACTGAGTTCAAAGAGTTGCAATAGGAGCACCTGTGGTCACTGAGTTCAAAGAGTTGTAATAGGAGCACCTGTGGTCACTGAGTTCAAAGATTTGTAATAGGAGCACCTGTGGTCACTGAGTTCAAAGAGTTGTAGCTTCAGAAATTGGAGGGATGTATTGGGGTGATAACTTATGTTGTGAAAAATTGTCTACATGAACAAACAAAAAAACACCTAATACAGGTCTGAGGAGTTTCTTGAGAACCTACACTCCCTCGTGAAGAGAAAGGTGGAAGAGGGATAAACAAATACAAAAAAAAGGTGGGGGCAGATATGGAGGTGAAAGAGGAGAAGGAGTAAAGTAGGTACAACAGGAGGAGAAGAAAGAGGAAGAAGTTTACAGTTTAAATACCCCTCGAGAGGATCTACTTGACTGCACCCAGTTTTATCTAATATGGCTCAGTCTTTCTCTGCAGAATAGCTAGCCGCCTTGCCAAGAGCATAGCAAAAAGTACAAACACAGTTGCTCTGACAACAATTCCCAGACAGAAGAAGAAGGAGGAGAAGGAGGAAAAGAAGACGGAGAAGTGAGTTCTAAGTGTGGTGCACTGCTGCTCAAGTCACTGCAATGCTAAAATCAGCTTGTATCTGCTCGAGTTGAGATGGTTTTGGAATATACCTCTCGATTTGCTACTGAAGCATTATCTCCATGGTGATTATGTAGGTAAGCATGATAGCACAATGGACAGATCCTTGTCTTGAGCCTGAAGGGTTTAGGTTTGAATTCATACCGTCCCGTGTGGATTCAGGAGCCTATTTTGGGTGGGGGGAAAAAGAAAAGATCCACCCCCCCCCCCCCCCACCCCCACAAAGAAGCATGTAATAAATAAAAGTTGACTAATTTGAGGTGCATTCCTTCAAAGTGCATCTACTTTAGCAGCACCAGGAGTCTACAAACTAATAAGTCACATTTGTAAAACAGATGCGCACACAAAAATCAAGTTCTGGAACAGTGTCAAAGTCCAAAAGAAAACAGTTTTTTTTTCAGAGTTTACAGCCGTGGACACAAAAAAGAGGAATTCACAGCTAGGCAGACTTTTCATAATTGGTCTAGGATCCAGGTTGACCTAGTCTATCATCAGTAACAGAAAATGTTCTGGGAAGTAAAAGTGACTTACACAATGTAGACAACATAATCTGTTGAGGGAAAAACTGGTATATAAACATTGTCTTAATTTACGAGGGGGGGGGGGGGGAGAACAGATCTGCATGCCCTGCATGTTGTAAGAAATGACTACACAGCCTAGAGTGAGTACCAGGTGCAGTCCTGGGAAATAAAGGCGGTCAGTGTCATGTCGATCACATCACCCACTAAGTGCCTGAAGGCATGTAAAAAGGTCCTTTACTTTTAATTTAGGAAATTACTAATGTGTTTCCCTTGAAGGTCAGAGTGCATCTGTATGTCAGCTGAGCAACTAACAGTCTGCATACCAATAAGCAAGATCTGTAAATTGAATATGCACGCACCCCTGGTGGGTTCCAGGGTCCCTTTGTGACAGGCACACACAAAATAGACCCCCTGACCCCAAGCATGTAGTGAGAGTCTTCTAATTAGGAATGCTTCCTTTGACGTTGGAGTGCATCAGCCTGAAAGGCAAGAAACCAACAGGCTGCATCCAAGTAAGACAAATCTGTAAAACAGATGTGCAAACCAGACTCAGGTTCTGAAACAAGACTCAAGTTCAGAAGTGGACGAACAACCAGAACCTTCCGTCAGGGTTTACAGCCACTGAACACAAAGAAGATGAAGGTCTGCTTATTCGATGCAGATTTGAACCCAAGACTTTCAGGCCTGCAGGCAGCATCCAGCCCGCTACTTTCACAATGAAACCGTTTTGGAATGTTGTAACTAAATAATTATGATACAAATTTTGTGTAGATGGCAAACCATTTTGGAATGTTGTAACTAAATAATTATGATACAAATTTTGTGTAGATGGGCAAACCATTTTGGAATGTTGTAACTAAATAATTATGATACAAATTTTGTGTAGATGGGCAAACCATTTTGGAATGTTGTAACTAAATAATTATGATACAAATATTGTGTAGATGGGCAAACCATTTTGGAATGTTGTAACTAAATAATTATGATACAAATATTGTGTAGATGGGCAAACCATTTTGGAATGTTGTAACTAAATAATTATGATACAAATTTTGTGTAGATGGGCAAACCATTTTGGAATGTTGTAACTAAATAATTATGATACAAATTTTGTGTAGATGGGCATTTTAAGCAGCTAAACAATAAATGATGGAACCGGATCTGCAAAACGAATGTGCCGGAAAACTCAAATTCTGGATCAATACCAAACTCCAGGAGAGGATGAACAACCAACACTTTCCATCAGTGCGAGGATATAGATGCTGAATGCTAATAACAAGAACAGTGCTGACCGCTTAAGGCAATCTCACATGTGGCGAATTTCTGTTGTGAAGAACAATTTGTTTACCCAGTAATTTTTTCTTGCTCAAATTTTTATCTGGACAAGAGACATTTTTTAAGAGCAGAACTATTTCTTGGGTCCTTGGTGAGTTCTCCTTATCCGTTTTTCCTTATCAATCTGTAGCTCGGTGCTGTGCCATGCACTCAGCTTAGTAGCCGGGCGATGGAACTATATCCTTTCAGTCTACATATAGAGAAAAATGCAAGTGCTTACTACTGTTAGAAGCAAAACCTTAACATGACTAAAACAGTGAAAAATGTCTATCCTCCAAACTGACCAGAAGCCAAAATGATCTACTTTACTGTTTTGATATATTACAACTGCACTTCTTCTGCACTGTACCATTATCTGTGTTTT